TTGCCAGGTTGTTGACGGGGACTGGGCGTTGTTCTCATATAACCCCAGTTCTCCGTCAGCTCCACTGGCTCCTGATTGAAGTCCGGGCCCAATTCAAGGTGTTGGTTATGACCTATAAAGCCCTAAACTGCTTGGGACCTGGATATCTAAAGGAACGCTTGCATCCATATATGCCCTCCCACCCCTTGAGATCAGCAACAGATGCCCTTCTCCAGGAACCCTCTGTGAATGATATTAGGAGGGTGAGTACCCAGAGGAGGGCTTTCTCTGCGGTGGCGCCCCACCTATGGAATGCGCTCCCCAGAGAGGTCCGCCTGGTGCCATCGTTATTTGTTTTTCGGCGCCAGGCTAAGACCTTTTTATTTAAAACTTATTTTAATAGTTAAATTATTTGTATTTATAGGATTTTAAATTTTTAGCCGAGATGCACCGGGGGTTTTTAAATAATTTTTTTATTGTTATATTGTTATTATTTATGTATTTTGTTTCTGTTGTGAGCCGCCCCGAGGCTTCGTTGCAATGGGGGCGGCATAAAAATGTTTTAAATAAATAAATAAAGAGCATAACAACATTTGTGAATGTCTTCATAAATGAAATTGAAAGAACTTCAAATGTTGTTTGTTAAAAAAAAAATCAGTGTGAAACTGACAAAGCCTCCCATCTAGGCGGAGATTTGAATAATCAGTGCTTAAAAGTTTAGGCTGGAATATTCAATAACCTTTGTGATTATGAATTAGAGTTGTGACTCTTTCTTTCTGTCTTTCTTTCTTTCTTTCTTTCTTTCTTTCTTTCTTTCTTTCTTTCTTTCTTGCACCACACTCTTCATCTTTAGTAGCTGAATTGTAGACAGGTACACATTGGGAAAATTTGGATAAATTTGGCCGGAAAACATTGCTTAAACCTGCACTCTTTCTCAAAAGCATTGACTTTCCAAGCCAGGTCACTGTTTAATATTGCTGCTTGCCTTAAGAAAATGGCATCTCCCCCCCCCCCCCCCCGCCCACATCCCTTTCTCTTGCTCTTCTTCTCATGTCTAGCTGTAAGCCAGAGCAGAGAGGCCATTCAGTGGAATCCACACTGCTACCATGTTGCTGCACAGTCCCTGCAGCAATTCACAGTTTACCTGGAAGTATCTATTCTGCTAGTCCAGAGCGCTTCATGCGCCCTGGCCAATCAGAATGGTGCGGATGCATTACTCAGGGTCTGAGTCTAGATGAGCTTATGAGTTCATAAATTGGGGGGGGGTTGGAGGCACTGCTTTGCAGTGGTTCCGCTCCTATCTCAATGGCCGGTTCCAGAAGGTGGTGCTGGGGGACTATGGCTCTGCGCCATGGCAGCTATGCCATGGAGTACCGCAGGGGTCCATTTTGTCCCCTTTGCTGTTCAACATATACATGAAACCGCTGGGAGAGGTCATCAGGAGGTGTGGGCTGCGGAACCATCAGTACGCTGATGATACCCAGCTCTACCTCTCGTTTTCCACCAATCCAGGTGAGGCAGTGGCTGTGCTGAACCGGTGCCTGGCCGAGGTAATGGGCTGGATGAGGGCCAATAAACTGAAGCTCAATCCAGACAAGACGGAGGTCCTGTTGGTTGGTGGATCGGGCTTCGGAGAGGGTGAATTGAACCTTGTCCTGAATGGGGTTGCACTCCCTCTTAGGGACAAGGTCCGCAGCTTGGGAGTGCTCCTCGACCCAGAGCTTTCACTGGAAGCTCAGGTAACAGCAGTGGCGAGGAGTGCTTTCCTCCAGCTTCGGCTAATTCATCAGCTGCGCCCCTATCTGGAGAATGACTGCCTTGCGACAGTGACACATGCGTTGGTGACTTCCCGTTTGGACTTCTGCAACGCGCTCTACGTGGGGCTACCCTTGAAGACGGTCCGGATACTTCAATTGGTCCAAAATAGAGCTGCCAGGCTGCTGACGGGGACTGGACGTTATGTTCACATGACTCCAGTTCTCCGTCAGCTTCACTGGCTTCCCATTGAAGTCCGGGCCCAATTCAAGGTGTTGGTTATGACCTATAAAGCCCTAAACGGCTTGGGTCCTGGTTACCTGAAGGAGCGCTTACATCCTTATATGCCCAGCCGCCCCCTGAGATCGGTGGGAGAGGCCCTTCTCCGGGAGCCCTCCATGGAAGAAGTTAGGAGGGTGGTTACTCGGAGGAGGGCTTTCTCAGCGGTGGCGCCTAAGTTATGGAATGCGCTCCCCAGAGAGGTCCGCCTGGCGCCGTCGTTATTTGTTTTTCGGCGCCAGGTGAAGACCTTTTTATTTAAGCAGTATTTTAAATGTTAATATTATTGAATTTTATTTGGCCAGGGCGGCTTGTTTTATAGTGTATATTTGTATTTTATTGTATATATTTTAAAATGTTATTTTAAATTTTTTGTTGTAAGCCGCCCCGAGGCTTCGGCGAATGGGGCGGCATAAAAATGTTTTAATAAATAAATAAATAAATACATAAATAAATGGTTTCTCAGTAGCTTGAATTTACATGTCTAAGCAGACCCGGAGATGGGTTCAAGTTTCTGGCATTTACTCAACTGAAATATCAATACACTGCAATTAGAAAAATTGTTACTTGTATGTTTGGCTGATCGTCCTTATTTGTTTTGAATATGATGACCTCAGAATTTCATTTCATTGTAATGTTTGTAGTCTGTCATCAATTGCTCTGTACCTGTGTACATGATTGGGAGAGTATAAAATGCCCTGTACAGTGGTACCTTGGCTCACAAACGCCTCAGTTCACAACCAAATCAGGTTGCGAACAGAAATTTCAGAAAAATTTTGCCTCAGTTCACAAACTTCTCATTGGGCGATGACCACAATCACGGCCATCTTCCCTGCACAAGCACACCCACGATTGGACCAGTCCTCCCTGCAAGAGCGCTTCTGCGACCACCCCCGAGCATGATCACTATCACACGATTATGGTTTGGACTCTCCCTCCAAACAATAACTCCCCCCCACCTAGGTTAGTGTTCTCTACTGTACTGTACTTTGTTACTTTGTTGTTCTTTGTTACATTGTTTCAAATGTTTGTGATTAAAAAAATATTTACAGAACGGATTAACCTTATTTACATTGAACCTTATGGGGAAATTTGACTTGGCTTATGACCAAAATCAGCTTGCGACTACGTTTGTAAGGGTCAGAACAGATTAACCTTATTTACATTGAACCTTATGGGGAAATTTGACTTGGCTCGTGACCAATTTGGGTCACGACCAGAGTCGTGGAACGGATTAAGTTCGTGAGCCGAGGTACCACTGTACTTGTATTGAAACTTTGCAGCTGAGTCCAGTTCTGCCCAGTAATGCATTATCATGAGTAGGACCTGCAGGGAACTTGGGGCTCAAATGTCAATAAAGCAGCAGAGGTTCGAACGTTTGATCTTTCCCATGAACTCGAGTTTTTATTTCCTCCTCACAAATTGAAAACCAAGATTCTGTCATTCGGCATGGCTCTCCATGCTGAAAGTACCTGTACCCATTGAATGTAGATGGATGAGAATTTTGTTTGATTGGATTTTGCCCAAATAAGTGTTTACTACAGTTCACAAATTCCTGCCCAGTTGAGATGGAAAGAAGTTGAGTTTGTTTGTTCAATCAGATATGGGAGAAGTTGAAACTGACAGATTTGTCCAGATTTGTCCGTTCTCTGGTCTTTTAGCAAGGTGATGACCATGAAGAAATGCCTGTCTTGCGACTACTGTATTACTATGAACTTTCATCCCAATGAGACACTTCTATTCCTCTGTCTGTTGTTACTTAAGTGGACTCTAAAATTTTCTCTGTAATTCCAGTCAGATTACAGATAATTTTAGGATTCATTTTAAAGCTTTTTCTGATAGTCTTGTACATTTTACATTTTATGTGTAAGATTTTGCAAACATTTTAAAAGAGTATGTTCCAGATGATAATTTTTTCTGTCAGTATTGGGATTATTCCACAGTATTTGCAAGGGGCTACTGAAAAGGTCTGTATACACAGGGCCATGAGAACAGCTTCATTTTAATTGTTCACTGGGGACGTGCACATGTGCCCTCAAGCCCTCCAGGGGGAAGTGGTACTACCCAAACTGGTTTCGTATTTGGGTTATGCATGTCTGCGGAAGGGGATGCACAGGCTTCGGAGCGTAAGTTGATTCCTTTCACCAGCGTAATCTTGACCTCTCTGCTGTCTTTGTGCACCTGCTCTTTGCCTGTGATTCGACCTTGATCCAGTTGGCACAGGTTGGCCAATTCTTTGCCTGTGTTTCTCTGCACAAGCAGACTGAAGAGTGTGGAATAATGGGTCCACAAAGCCTTGCGGAAGTCACAGAAGACGGGTCCGTGAGAAGGCCCTTAACCCAGTCCCAGTCCAAGTCGACTCCTAACTGTGCAAGGTTTCAAAGCTGAGGTTTCTCTTTTTAACCCAAGGCGTTGGGGGCGACCGATCTGGAGGAGGGATGGCGGGGACTTGTGCTGAACGATTTACACCTGGCGTTTTCAGCAGCGCAAGCTTCAGGCCATGCTTGCGCCTTGCTGGAGAGGCTGCTTCTTCCACTAACACGGCGGCAGGCGTAGAGTTCCCCCTTGAGCTCTTCAGCCACGAGAGCCATCCTAAGATGGGCTGCAAGCGGGCGCCTGAAAGGCGAGCGGTTAGAGCTCAGGGAGACGCAATCCCCGGCCGCGGCGTGCGCCTGCGCGCACCTCCCTCTGGCTCGTCTACACAGGCTCACATGCGCCCGCTCCCTTTCTGGTCTGCGGCGAGGGCGAGGGAGGGGACAAGGCAGACGCTGGGGCTCTGCGCTGAGGACACAAAAGAAGCGGCTCCACTGGCGGCGGCGCAGGGCTGGAAGGAGGCGCTGCCTTTCCCGCCCTCCTGAATGGAAGAAGCGCAGCTCGGCGAGGCAGCCTCGGATTTAGCCTGCCCGGGAATCGCGGAGCAGAGGCGGGAGGCAGGCGCGGGCCAGCTCGGCGTCGATCAGCGATCGCGCCCAGACTTGAAATGCTGCCGCTCCTGAATGAAAGAAGTTGCCTGGCGTTCCTCGCCCCGACCTCTTCGCTGCTGTAGCCGGTGGAGAGCGATGCTGCGAGGCACGGCGACCGCATCGTCGACTGCTCCCCTGCCAGCCCAAGGCTCCCAAGAGCAGCCGTTGCGTCTGTGAGGGCGAAGCGAAGTGGGGCGGGGGAAGGAGCACAAGAAGCGATTCTGGATCCCTTTCCGGACTCATCGACGCGGTGCCGCCGCCGCTGTCGCAGCCTCCGCCGCTTGGGGGGCTGGAGTGGTGGGGAAGCCGTTGCCCGCCCCGGCTGGGATCTGTGTAGCAGCAGCGTTTGCTTCGTGGATGTGTATGAATGAGTTCTGCACCGAATGCGCGCAAAAAGCGCCCCAGGTCCGCGGGCTCTATCTTCCAGATCAGCAAAACGCCGCTGCACGGCAGGGACTGTGAACGCAGAGGCAGCACCTCGGAGGGCGCCCCCAAGACCCAGAGACTAGCCCTGGATGACTGCAAGATGGTGGGTAAACGCAACTGCTCCCCCCTCGGTGTCTTTTACATTGGTGTTGTTCACTGGAGGGACCACTCCTCTCTCGCCCCCCGTTTCTTTCTTGCCTTGTCTATTCCGATCACGTGCAGTTGCACTATTTTTAAAACTGCAGTCCGCATTTGAGTTGACACCCTTTCTTTCCTCTTATTTTTTGCTCAAGTCGTATCCGCTTTAAACAAGCGAGGTGCCATCGTGGGGTGGGGGGCAGAAGGGGAGTACGGAGAGAAGTGCCTGCTTCGTGTTGATTTTGAGTCATAGTACAAATGTCAAAACATTGATGAAGATGGAAGAAAGGTGTGTGTGTGTGTGCGCGCGCGCGCGTGTGTGTGTGGGGGGGGGGGGAGTCCGGAAAGGTCCTGGCTAACGAGTTCAGTCGAAGTAAAGGACAACAGACTAGGTTCCTATGTTATGGGGCTAAATTCCAGACACTCTGCATGTGGTGGACCCATGATGCAGAAATTCAGATCAAGCACCTGTAACTAGGTTGCAGGTAAAAAGTCAACTCCAGTTACTAAATAGAGAACGAGTGTATGTATGTGTGTGCACACATGTGCTTGTTCTCAGCATGGTGGGATTGTGCATTTTTTTAATCCCACCACAGCAGTGGTAAATAATATGACCCAAGACCTGGCATCTTCTGTCATTCTAGTGAACCAGCATGTCCTTGTTTTAAATTCCAAGCCAGATAAAAAGTACCTTTGTCATTAATATGCTCTTCCCAAATGCAGTTTCTAAGGAACTTAAGTGGTTTGAGAACTCACTAGTTTGGGTCACTGCTGATGCTGTCTGCTATGCCTCAGTAAATGTGTGTTGTTTGCTTTGAGCACACCAAAATTGGCCTTCTTCATGGATTATGACAAAGCTGTTAAAACATGTTTTGTGCACTCCACCCCAACTTCAATGTTGTGTGGAGTTTAAACAAACAGACAAACCAAGCTTTAAAATATGCTGAAATAGATCTAGTTGATAGGAAAAATTTGCCCTTGTATTTCAGTTTGCCTGTTTATGTAGCTGGCCTCTGTTGCTTTGAAGCCTCTTCCTCCCATTTTACGCTTTACCCTAAGAATGATTAGGGACAGTACAAATGTATTGAAACAGATGGATATAAACTGGGAAAGGAGCTCTTCATAAATGGTTGTGTGACACCTACCTACAAGTAAGCTCTGTTGAACTCTGCGGCTCTTTCGTTTGAGTAAATAGGCACAGGATTGCACTGCTCCTTTCAGCATTTAGTCTGTTGCAGCAAAAACAAGAAATTGTCTTGGGGCACCTTATGCCAGACTTAGATCAGAATAAAATTTGTTCATCTTTATGATTTTAGGAGATTCTTTTCCTGTTTATTCATCCATTCTGCGAATATGGAACTTGTAATGGAGTATATAACTGAGGTAAAATGGGATTAGTAAATGGTTTGCTTACTAAATACTTCATCGCAGATAAACTAGAGACATTTTGGAATGGTTGATGTGTAGCTCAAATAGCCTGGACGCATTGTAGACCTGCTTCTGTGCTGATGAGAGCTGTGTCAAGTGCAAGTTATGTCAGATAGCATGGCATACTAATATTTTGTTTGGGTTGTCAGTGCTAGAATTGGAAACTTCTGGTGCCTTTGTGTTCAGTTCAGACACACCAGGCCTAGAATAGGCAACTTTCTTCAGCGACAAGGTCTAAAAGGCTTATTTTAACTAATTCTGCTTCACATACTTGAGATTCATATAATGAACATAGTTTGTGTACACTGCCCATGACCATGTCTAGTGCTGCTTGGAAGGACAGTTGTGCTGAAGCTGTCTGTATTCTCATCACAAGGCAAACATTTATTCCCATTGAGTTCAGTGAGCTTACTCCCAAGTATGTGTACACAGGATTCCAGCCAGATTTTGAAATACTTGCCATTAGTTGTGGTGTGGGGAGGGCAATAGGAGGCACAATGTAATTGGACATTGAAAGAACTCATTTTATGAATTTGGCCATTACAAGCACTGAAAACCAGTTAATTGGAACTTCTTTAATTGGTTACCTTGTTTTGGTACTAGCATTTAAAAAAAAACTGCAGTTTAATATTTATTTCTGCAACTATGGGCTGGAAACTTAACCTTAAAAAAAAAAAGAAAAAGCTGGGATTCACAGGGTTCTAATATACCCCTGGAAGAGTCAGAGAAGCTTTTGCTGAGCCCTGGCTTGAGCAATCTGTCAAATGCATATTTTCTTTGCTAAAGTAGGAGGATTTTTAGGTCTGAAAGGAAAAACATGGAAGATTAATTTTCACTCCACAACACTTCTACACAATAATCCCTTGGGGCCTGAACATACAGGGTGGGTAATCCTACTTTGTAGTAAATCATTGTAATGCTTTGTGCAAGAGCCAGAAGTACCACCAGATCTACCAGAAAATGTGCTATATTTTAATTAAGTGCTAATGACAGTCCTGATTTGTGCAAAGGGAGCAAAACTGTTTTGATAATGTAGTTTGAGATTATGACCCAATATTTGGCAACATACAGCTGTAAGATCTGGATTTCTGAAGAATTTAGGGTCCATATTGCCATGGTGCATTTGGAAACAGTGCAGTTTGTCTCTGTTTTGTGATAGTTTGAAGATTAAGCTTAAACACTGAGCAAATGTCTTCCCTGTGGAGACTTTTTGGAATATGATATAAATGTTTTTCCTTGTTCTTCACCATGGATATATCTACTTCCTTGTACATTAAAACAAGGTTCAGTCCAGGTAGTTAATCTGAATGAAATAATTATAAATTTGTTAAGCAGTGGGCTTGTAAAGATTTTTCCAGAAGTTTAAAGATGAGTTTGCTAGTTTGATGCTGTCTTGTAGGAACAGAAGAGGAGTGTGTGTTTGTAGGTGTTATCTGTTTATCTATTTTATTTTATACAGCCCAAAGTACATGCAGGAGTACTAGATAGGGAGGGCTCTTTCCAATATATATCTTATTGACCAGGAAGTTCAGATTCTAGGTCTAGTGAACATTCAATTGGAGCCAGGAAAAAACTAATGTCAAAATAAATAAGCAGTCTCCAGTGCAGAAAAATGAATGGCACATTCCACTCCCTAGATGGGCAGCAAATTGCAAATCAGTGGGGAAAAAAGGAAGGGACTATTTCTGGAAACATTAACTTCTTTCATGATAAAATAATCCCTTGCTTGCATAAGAAGAGAAGCTGTTGTTTATGCCCACTTCAGCATTTAAAAACACTTTCAGAGGCTTAGGTTCTTGAGCTTTAGAGCTTGTAGAAAATATATTTCCCCCAGTGTAAATGCATACTCTGGGCATACAAAGGGGAGTTCCCACAACCATTTATGTTCTCACTGGAGTCAATCCTGGTAGGCTCAAGCTTTAGTGAAGAAACATTTCAGAAAAAATCTTATCTTACAGTGCAAAGAAGTATCTTGTACTGGTTAAACAGGCTTTTTTATTTTTTTTTCCAGCTGGTCCAGGATTTCAACACCCAGGTGGCTCTGTACCGTGAGTTGGTCATTTCCATAGGAGATGTCTCAGTCAGTTGTCCTTCTTTGCGTGCTGAAATGCACAGAACTCGAACCAAAGGATGTGAGATTGCCTGTCAGGCACACCAAAAGTTATCAGCTATCTCTGGGTAGGGGATTCTTACCATTTTTTCCAGCTCTGCTTTCTGCATGCCCTCTGGATTGCTAAATGCTCTGTCAATTAACACTTTTTTAATTAACACATATATTTGTTACAGTATAATCCCTTGTTTTACTTGCTCTGTGCTAGCTCTTGATACCAGGACATGTATGTGAAAATCAAAGTTTAGAATAAACCTGTTTGACCTTTCTGCCCTTTACTACCTTGGGGGAGCTGAATGTGTGGGTGCTAGAATGGTGCCAGGCCACACCAAATATGTATCTCAAGGATATTTTATGTCCTGTTTGATCGATGTCTGGCTTCTTTTCTTGCTTCCCCTCCCCATTCTACAAATATGTCTGTGAATGAAAGAGCGCTAAGAACGTAGCCACATGGGAGATTTAAACTGCTTTAACATGTGCCCTTTTCCCAAATAACTCTTGACGTTCTAGTTCTTTGAGGAAGTGCTGTGGATCTTAACAGAGAATTCTGAGCAGCTCCCCAGAGAACAATTCCCAGGATGATTAAGGAGAAAGTAATTCCATGTACAGTAGTTGCTATTCGTAATGTAGCTTGTGGGTGAAAATGCTAATACACAATTAACCTGAGATTAATGGAGGAGATGAAAGAGGAAGAGCGATAACTGCTTTTAAGGTAAATATGGTCTAATACAGTAAAAGTATTAGACCAAATTATGCATGTCTTTTACAGATTTTTGCTATCATGTTAACTGGACGATGGCATCGCAGTTAATGCAATTGTCTTCCAGCCACTGGTACATTTTCATGGGTTAAAAAAAGCAGTTAAAACAAATGCAGCAAATCATATACCAAACAAATAGAATAACCAGCGCCTATTTGAAAACTTCATTTCCCTCTTACAGGTACAGTTTGCATCTGTAAAATGTTCACCTGCATCTGTATACCTATCAGTTATATCTGAGGTGCAGACAGAATTGGAGTACATTTAATTTACTTTGGCTGTTGGTTTTATAGTGAGGTATTAACTGCACCTGCAAAAAAGAAGTTGAAAAAGTGTTATTGTATAAGCGTATCCCCGGTAAGCAGCAAATACTCAATTTGTACACTAGATTCAAAAAGCTCAGTAGTGTTCTTATGCAAGCATCTTGAAATGTAATTCTCTTTCCAAAGGTGGTAATAATAACTAATGGTCATTTGTTATTTAATTCTTAGCTTACTATGAGATAGTGCAAACATAAGTCATCTTGTCACAGTATTGAGAATATGGTACAGCTGTTGTGATATATTGTGGAGTGAATGTGCAAAGACTTACTTGCACAGCTAAAGACTCACTAAAGTTGTTAGAAACGAAATACTTATCTGTGGTGCTGAATTCCACTCCCCAGATATGTTTGTCACTGTGGAGCACCAAGGATAGCTCCGCTAATGTTCAAAATAAAAGCAGCAATGGATGAAGTGCTGATCTGATTTAGGAGTCATCAGCCTTTCCTGATATCTAGTAGACCATCATTTTATTTGTAAAACTGACAGGAAGCATAAGGTTGCTGCTATCTCCATTTCATGTGAACTAGTCCAGAATATCAGCTTTGGTGCACCTCAGAAGGCCTTTAGTGCAGCTCCCACAAGGATGCCCCAACCTTCCCTGTGCTGCTGAATTCCTTCCTGCATGTACTTGTAATTCCTTTCTCCAGGGATCTTCATACAAATCACTCTTTCGTTGAGGGTGCTGCTGGCAATGATAAAAGAATGATCTATATCAGGTCACTTGTGGGGGTGTGCATCTGTATACACCGTGTTTTGCACATGGTTCTCAGGGCAGAAAAGGTTGTGCAGTGTTGACTGAGCTGTGGTTTGATTGAAGGCTGAGCAAAAAGCAAGTGATTGGGAAAACATTGCAACCGCCAGTTGTAACATGACAGTTTTGTATTCATTTATTTTAGCTCATGCATCTTCTCAAATGATAGCATGGGCAAATTCCTTCTCTCTTGTGTACTGGTCTGTGTTTGGATTAGTGATCTACCTGATATATTTTCTTTGTTGAAATCCTTCAGGATCATTCGGTAAAAGAATTGTGGGTGAGGGAAAGAGCCCCCCCCCCCCCGTATTACAACGACATTGGTTGATACCACTTTAGGAACTATCAATTAGACTTTCAGAAGAATCTGGAAATTCAGTCATAATCAGTCATAGCAGTTTTAGTGTTTTATATAATAATTCAGTAAAATCTTTACTGTCTAGATATGTTAGCCTTTCTGAAAAGTAACTTCAACATTTATCTTGCCCTTGAATTCATATTTTCTTATCTCTCCTGTTTTTCTCAATTATGAAGAAAAAAAATACTGGAATTGTTGCTGTTGTTGTTAGTCACGAAGTCATGTCCAGCCCATCGTGACCCCATGGAAAACATTCCTCCATCCCCCTGAGTCCACTTAGTCTCACACTGACTGCTTCAGTGACTGCATCTGGCCTCCTCATTCTCTGCCATCCCCTTCTTGTTTTGCCTTCAGTTGTTCCCAGCATTACAGTCTTCTCCAGTGAGTCCTTCCTTCTCATTAGGTGGCCAAAGTACAGTGGTACCTCAGTTCACAAATGCCTTGGTTCATGACCAAATCGGGTCATGAACAAAAATACCATGAAAATTTTCACATGGGTCGCGAACTCCGCATTTGGTGGCGACCAAGATCGCAGCCAGCTCCCCACCCCCCTCAAGTGGGGAGATGGCCATGATCGCAGTTGCTTTCATGCAGGGAAGACGTGCGTGATCACTGGCGCACTCCTGCGGGAAAGACAGGCACAATCTCGGCCATTCCCCCCGACCAGCACGATAGCAGCCATCTCCCCACGCCCCCCTGAGTGGGGAGATGGCTGTGATCATGCTGGGGGCAGGGGGGAGATGGCCAAGATCGCGCCCATCTCTTCCTGACCCAGTGCTCCTGCGATCGCGCCCTTCTCTCCACCCCCCAGCACACCGGGATGACAGGTGCATGCTGGGATGACAGGCACGATCTTGGTCATGCTGGGAGAGCAGGGAGATGGCCGCGCTTGTGGGCGGGGTTGCGGGTGGAGAGATGGCCACGATCTTTGTAGTTCTTTGTCACTTTGCTTCACATTTTTCTGATTTAAAAATGGATTAACCTTACTTACATTGAACCTTATGGGGAAATTTAACTTGGCTCATGACCAATTTGGGTCACAACCAGAGTCCTGGAACAGATTAAGTTTGTGAGCCAAGGTACCATTGTATTTGAGTTTCATCTTCAGTATCTGGCTTTCTAAAGAGCACTCAGGGTTGATCTCCTCTAGGACTAAGAGACTTGCAGGAATCTCCTCCAGCACCACAAATCAAAGCCCTCAATTCTTCAGCGCTCAGCCTTCCTCATGGTCCAACTTTCACAGCCATACATTGCAACTGGGAAAGCCATAGCCTTGACTATACGCACTTTTGTCAGCAGGGTGATGTCTCTGCTTTTTAGTAAGCTGTCTAGATTTGCCATAGCTTTCCTCCCCAGGAGCAAGCATCTTTTAATTTCTTGACTGCAATCCCCGTCTGCGGTGATCTTGGAGCCTAGAAAAATAAAATCTTTCACTACCTCCATTTCTTCCACATCTATTTGCCAGGAAGTGATAGACCGGATGCCATGATCTTAGTTTTCTTAATGCTGAGTTTCAAGCCAACTTTTGCACTTTCCTCCTTCACCCACATCAAGAGGCTCTTTAATTTCTTTAAAAAGCCAAGATTCCCTTGCTTGTGGTTTTGGAAACTGATGCTTAGATTGATTTAGATTGATTTGAATGTAGGAAGTGTCAGGGTTTATAAATGTCTAGAAGTCATTCTGTCTGCCTCAGAAACCTTGACCCTTAGTCGCCAATATCTGGAAACAGGTACACTTGCATATATTCAGAATCACTATTTGTTATTATCATCTTGCATCTTCTGTGGCTTGCATTCAAAACAAATTCAGGAGATAGGATTGATTGATAGGATTACTACAAAGTAAGCCGTTCCCAGAAAATATCCCCAGTTCTTGTATAAATTGCTAAAGTTAAGTTTGCAGTATTCTTAGAGAAACTAAGCTGTTACACACATTATGAAATATACCAAATCTAAATAATAGGAACATTTGCAGCTTTCATTGTTATATAATCCCAAATAGATCAGCTGGAGTTCCTAAGAATTGATCTGAAAGTAAATCAAAGTACTAGTGAGAAGCACACCAAATGTTGGGAATAAGTATGGAAACATGACCATAACAAGGTAGATGGCAGATAGGGTAGAGCTGGGGAGGAAAAGAGAAACTTGCACAACTTGAAACATATGTGAAGCAGAAAGCATCTTGTTGCTCCATAGTAGTTAACAGCTTTTGGACTCCTGCAAATAGATGTAAGGGAAGAAGGCAGAAGAGTTTTTAGATAATTCCAGCTAAGGCTGATGTGAACAGCTTTGGAGAGACCCACTTTTCCAACACTGCACTGTAAATTTCCGCACATACCATGTAGGGAATCCTGTCTTTTGCTGCTGTTGTTGCCAGCAAATGCTGATTAAACCATGTGATGTAGATGGTGGTGGTGCTACATATTGGCCAACCATGATGATATCTTGGCTTTAGCTCATGCAAGATTGTTGCCGTTTTCATTCCTTGTCTTAGTGGCTAGCCAAGCAGTGCTAAATATTCTGACATGCTACATGCTTTCAGAACTGTAATGTTGCCTTATATGGATGAAGTTTTCATAGCTTTTGCAATAAGGAAGCAGAATGATACACAATTCACATCAAAGAAATGTTATCATTTGCTTCTTTGGGAACTTATTGGAAGCTTTTATTGCTTCCAGCCTTTATTGTATACCCCATTGTTCTTCCTCTTGCAAGCAACCCAGGGTGGATTACCAGGTTCTTCTCTACTCTGTTTTATCCTTACACCAACAGCTCTGAAGTAGGTTAGGGTAACAGTCTGTGACTGGCCCAAAGTCACCCAGTGAGTTGGCTCAGTAGAGTGTACAACAGGATCTCCTGAGTTCCAGACCAACCCTC